TCTCCAAGTCATCAATGTGGTCACCACTCATCAATGCCACCTCTGCAGATCACATCCAACTCAGGTAAGTATCTTCCATAGCCAACCTTGAATGAACACTCTCAGCCTCAATCCCTTCCTCTTATGATGCATATACACTCTTCAATACTCATGAGGATCTACTCTGGATATTACTCATAGCTACATACTAACCCTCTACTACTAATGCTAACTTGCTGGGCAGCTATGGCTGCATCACTTCCAGCATACAGGCTTCTCCCTTCACTCAGCGCATCTTCTCCTTCCAGCGCTGCTCCTACTGGCTCAACGCACAAGTGCACCAGCACTTCCACGCATAGAATGCCAGTGGAGATCTGGGTAGGAATGAGGCTGGCTGCCTCCTTTATACTCCTCGCTGGGTCTGTATTGGCTCAATCCAGCCTTCCTTTTGTCCCAGACCCTGCATTGCATGTGTCCCAGTAGAGTCGCAAATGAAGTTCAACTGCTGCTGAGGCCTCCCGGCCTGAATTTGGACTTGAAAGTCTGGATCTGGACTGCCCCCTGGACTTAGACCAGAACTGGGTCTGTGCCTATTGACTTTACTTTCGGACAGGCACAACTCTCAACGAACAGACACATTTACTGCTTGAACAGACACTTTACTTGGCACGAACAGACACACTGCCTGCACGTACAGACACACCCTTACCCAAACAGACATGACATACACATCTCCTGGTGAACAGGTAAGTCTTTTGACAATGCCCTTTGCCTTAATTTTAAATCTGCCTGTTGATAGAGAACTTGACCTTTGACCTGCTTTCACGTTTCTGAGCTCTGACGAGATACCTTTTCACAATGCTTTACTTTTTCAAGGCCCGTGCTGCTTTATTTTTACAAGGCCTGAGGCCTATATCGGGTAAAGGCCCTTTTAGTTGTCGCGTTCGGCCCTCGGACGACATATGGCATGGGTTATAACACGTGTTGCAATTCTGCTTTTGGTTCGGGGTCACAACTATCTGGTCTCATGTGTATGATGCTGCTTGGTTTCTGAAGTTCGCTATTGCTCATTTTCCTTGCACTCAGATGAGAGTATGCGGAGTTGAAACAGTAACTGCGAAAAGGGATTTCCCGTAAAATTTCAAATTTTGAAATGACGAATTTTGGAAATTCCAAAAAAAATCTCGGAGTTCTCGAAATAACGGGAAATTGCGAAAGAAAATACAAAACGAAAATTTCCGTAAAATATTCCGGATTTCTCAACAACGAAAATTCGAATGTCAAAGAAAATGAAAATCGAAATTTTCAGATGCGGATTTTGCGATTTCCCAAAAACGAAAGTAGCACTAAAAAAAACGAAATCCAGAAGGGAAAAAAAATTCGATTTGGCAGTTAGGTCAAAAAAAATTCGTGATTTTGGGGACTAATTAGTATGCCCTAATCAATCAATCAATCAATCAATCAATCAATCAATCAATCAATCAGTGATCAATCAATCAATCAATCAATCAATCAGTTCATGATCAATCAATCAAACGATCAATGACTAATCAATCAATGAACTAATCAATAGTCCCCGCACACGTGTCAGATCAGGTTGTCCTGATTCACGTGCGGGGCTCTAATACCAACTGATACATGCCCAGTTGGGCAATCTATGTACAGCCAAGGATCCGCAATGTTATAAAAAGGACTGAATGGACAATGCAATGTTAGTGAAACATCAACAAGCAATATACACCCTGATGCGTACGAAATGGCACAAAATAGCGCAGTGGAAGACTTGGATATAAGTCCTGACCTGACCAGGACTGACACGACATTCCATCATACACCACACATATGAGAGGAGGAGGGACCACACACAAAGAAGAAAGGTCCCTCCTTGCACACGCACATGGGGAGATACCACAGATGTGAGATGGGGGGAGAGGTGAGACGAAGATGGAGGCGAGGGAGAAGACCAAGATCGCAATGGCGATGTCCAAAAATAGTCCCTCGCCGATGTCCAATCAATGTCTGTCTCAGAAATGTCGAACCAGATCCTGGGCGCAATGCCCACTGTAACCCCTGCGTGTATCCTCTGCCTGTAACCCCTCTCACTCTCGTATCTAAAGTAGAAGAAGAAGAAGAAAAAGAAGTAGAAGAAGAAGAAGAAAAAGAAGAAGAAGAAAAAGAAGAAGAAGAAGAAGAGAGGAGGAAGGAGAAGAGAGAGAGAGAGAGAGAGAGAGAGAGATGGAGGACGAGGAGGAGGAAGAAAAATGCCATCCTCCTCGCTGTGTCAACTGGAGGTAGCTGCCACCGTGCTGACTGTGTGGTCGCTCTGTGCAGGTACCGCGCAGAGTCCCCCAGCTATGGCGCCAGGTAAGTTTCCCGCTACAGGTAGGCCTCCGCCTCTTTCTCGACCTCTTACACCTCTACTCCCAGCGTCGCAGCATAGCGCTAGGATAGCGCAGCCTCCAACCAGCGGCGTGTCGCTGAAGAAGTGAGCTGCCGAACTGTCCATTGCCCAGCTGCTGCCCAGCTATATGTAGCGCTGGGTGGGCTGGGCCTACCTGGTGCTGGCCTCAGAAACGGCCCAGCCGGTCTGGGTCCCTACCGGACGTCCAGACCATGCTGCTGATGCAGCAAGGCGCGAAAACGCGCCTGGCCTCTTTAGGCCCTGCATCCGGTGTACCCAGTCCCAAGGTCGTGCCTTGGGGACTGCAAGTCTGAAACGACACCTGCACAAACAACAAAGGGGCAGCAGGTAAGTAAATAAATAAATAAATGCCGCCCATTTTCGCCATCTGTGGCCTGGGGGCCGCTGTGGGCCTCCAGGGCGCATGTCTGATGGGCATGTGGCCTACCGTCGGGCCCCTTAAATGGGGCCCGTGTGCAGGCGCAGCATGTAACAGTGTCCGAGCGCGGTGGCTATGGCCGCCACTTTCCTCCTTGAACCGCACAACCAATCTTGTATCGCTCCTCTCTCTCTCTCTCTCTCTCTCTCTCTCTCTCTCTCTCTCTCTCTCTCTCTCTCTCTCTCTCTCTCTCTCTCTCTCTCTCTCTCTCTCTCTCTCTCTATCTATCTCTATCTATCTATCTATATATCTGTCTTCGTTGTCTGTGCAGGTGCGCAACGCTTCCTTGCTGATGCGGCGCTTAGCTGGCACCTCTCCTCTTTTCCACGGCGATGATGGTGATGTGGAACAGCGGGAACCTGCTCTGATACCAATGAAATCAGACTCATCTTCTTTCTTACTCAGCATGCATGAAAACAGATGGCAATCACACTGGCGATGAGCGCCCACACAGAGCTCAGAGATATCGTGGCCAAGAACACAGTTCAGATTCAACTTGCTTTGACTGGCTATGGCGCCTGTGCGCCCTCACAACACCCTTTCACGCTGTATCCTCAGCGACTGTCCACACGCACGCTACTCTGGATCTCCCTGGATGTCCCACACACGCACACAACTCACTGCTCACTCACACACACACACACTATAGCCTATCTCTAGCCTAGCGCAGCTATGGCTGCGTCTACCTCCCTCACTAACTAACGACTATGGCTGCTTCGTCTCCCTCGCAGCCCTCTTCCCCCTCGGGCACCTGCAGACCTCCTCGCACAAGTCGCTCTGGCAGCGCTTCCGCGAGGCTCGCAGTCTGAATGAATGAATAACTGGACGCTGCCCCTTGATTTATACTTCTGTTGGTCGCTGATCTGCTCTTTTCCACCGGGCCCAGGGTGCTTACAGTCCCACGTGGTACTTGCTGACTGGACGTGGTAAGCCTCCCCAATTGCCCACTTGCTTACGGACTGCTTCTAAGACTCTCGAAGGGGAAGTCCTAGAAGGCTCTAGGCTTACCTAGTTGACCCTTCGGTACTGTAGCGGCTACGACTAAGCTACGACTTCTATTCTACAGGTAAGCAGCTCAATCCTATTCAACCCACGTATGTACAATAGCTGCCAACAGACAACTTTACGGGCAGGTCACGGGCTCAACCCTCGATGGGGCGAACTGTACTGTACATGGGATCGGGACAGGTCTAGGGATCGGGACAGGTCTAGGGATCGAGCCCTGGGATCTGCATCTGCTATCACGAAAGTGAAAACCGTTTCAGTGGCCTCTGCCTTTGCCATATTGCCATGTTGGGAAAGTTCCCGACTTTGATGGGGAGGCTACTGCAAAATTGAACTTTAGGCCTACCCTGCCGGTACTTGCAGGTACTGTAGCTACCTACCTACGACCTTATCCTACAGACCCTAGGCCTACCCTGCCGGTACTGTGGCCTCCCGGATTAACTGGGACCGGGACCTTTGTGGACTGACTATGTGAAATCCTTTGGTTGCTTTGACTACGTGTCAATCATTGCAACTTGTGTGTGTGCTTGCAATCTACCAGCATTCCATCTTCGTTATTCTGATGGGCTGTTCTTTTGTTTCATCGAAGATTTTGTGAGCAGCACATTCACATATTAAACCTGAAATCTATGTGTCTTTTGTCATTATGTCTAAAGCAGGTACGAGAAGGATGTTCTGTCTCTATGCGGCCAGGATGCTCTTCCTCACGCACGTCAAAAGATTGACAATGGATGAAGAAGACAATATGTGTCCAGGCAGTGTTCCTGTCTCCCTTAGCAAGCTTTGACAATAGTGGAATTGGTCTTGACTGACATCGAGTGCATTGGACATGGCCGCATTCCTGATTTGCATAATGATTGAATAGGAAGGGATGATAGTTGGCGGTCCCTGGATGAGAAATGGAAGCTTTGTGCATTCTGGGTTTGCTTATGTGATGACTGCATCTCAAGCAACGGGGGAGTCTATGACGTGTACCACAGGCAATGATGGTGCAATGGCATTCAGGAGGTGACCCAAGGAATCTATTGTCTTATCTATTGCCTAATGTGAGTGGTCCAGATCTTGCTCTGTGAAGACTGCAACGTCAGCCATTGAATCTCTTGAACAGGTTGGCATGGGTTTTCTGGACAATCTTGGCTATGATGGTCTTTGGGCAGGTGGATGCCCTTGGAGGCCCCATGGATCAGTTGTGTGCTGCGCTGGCCCTGAATTATGGTTTAAGTCTTGACATAAATGCTTTATATGATGAAAAACTAGGATAAGATGATGTTGAGTTTCTACAGGATGTCACTTCCAAATGTGGTAGGTGTGTGCCATTCCAAAGCTTCATGGAGGAAGAGGTGAAGTCATGTGCGGCCTCTGGTTTGAGGAAAGACACTCTCTCCAGCTTCTCCACGAACTTCCATGATGAGCTTGGTTTAATGTAGCGTGCACAGCAGGGCACCCCTGGTAGCATCTTGGGAACAGAGGGCATCGGCGGAAAAAGCTGATCAAAGAATGGGCAGGACTTTGATGCACTGTGGGATGGCAGATGATGGACTGGAAGAAACCGAACTCGTCCGATGAAGCTTACATCTGGAGGACTTCGTATGTCCCTGAGGTCTCATCCATTCAATGAGATTGGTTTATCTTTGAAAAGTTCACGAACGGCTGGCTCATAGTCTATGGTGTGGAATAGCTGTATCTGTCTATGGCGCTCATGGGCTCCAGTTCAACAAATTACATTATTATTGTATCGCCATGATTGTTCACCATCTTTACCTCTCATTATCGTGTGTGGTCTCTTCCACTCTAATCCATCTACATCTGGAGGCTCTCCTTTATGCACGAAGAAATCTCCATATGCCAGATGGCCATATGATGGGAAGCCAGCATGTGGATCATTTACTACTACTCTTGGCTTCTCATGCTTCTTGGTGTGTTTGGCTCGTATGTAAAGGGCCCTTGGATACAGTCCTTGTTGCCTCGCATTTGGACTTAGCCTAGAAAGGGCTTGATTTTTTCAAGCCATGCTCCATTCCAAGAAATCAAATAGAAGGCCCTTCATGCTGCACACCTCACTCGTTGATATCTGCTGGTCCATATCCAGTGACCATTACTGGCAATTGAATGGGGACTGATGGGTAGTTACAGATGGTGGATGGAACAGGGGACATGCCATGTGCTGCAGATTTGTTTGTATCTAGAGTCTGATTGCAAGCCACTGGATAGCTTGAATGCACAGCAAATGGCAAGAATGATTGAATGCAGGTTAAATGACCATGTGTTCACCGGGCATACATGTACTGTTTGAGCATTTGCAGTGCCATCTTCACCAATTTGCTCATGAACTCCCTTCTTGGTTGTTGTTCTTTTATCTTTCTTCTCGAGTTGACAATCTCGTGCCGGTATGAGCTATTTTTTCTGCCATGCTTTGAAAAGAGGTAAGGTTCATCCAGGGAGGATCAAGATAAGTGATGGGACGTGTGGTATGGAGTAGTATTGATACGCCACACTTATTGCTAAGTTCTACTGCATTGACATGCTGAATTGCTGCCACAAGTTGGCTGATCACTAATAAGGGCCTATGGTTTAGGGTGTATGCAGGAGGTAGCGTGGGATGAGGAGAAGGTTTGGGAGGCAGGAGTGGAGGAAAAGGGTGATGCAGGGAAATTGGACTTTTTCTGAAGGATGTGTGGAGTGTATCTTCTGGTCGAACATAAATGTAGCTCGTGGGGACTGCAGATGGGATCAACATACGGAGAAAGAGTCTCAATTTACAGGTGGTCAATCGTTCCACCTGCCAATTCATGCGAGCAAGAAGTATTTACATCATAGCCAATCTCTCTCTCTCTCTCTCTCTCTCTCTCTCTCTCTCTCTCTCTCTCTCTCTCTATCTATCTATCT